TCGGACTAACAAGAAAAGTGCAATGAACAAATAAAATTTCAAAACTGCCGAAGAAATCAATAGTTATACTAAGTGAGACGTGATTGGTAGGCTTGGTCTCAGTTATTCTCTGTCCTTTGGCCTCTGTATTTTCCATCGTTCTTTGATGTGTTTATAAATATCATCCAACTCGACGTGCCGGTTGATGCATGAGTCGTCGGAGTGCATGGCTTCGAGGAATTCTCGGCCATTTTTGGAGTGGCAAACTCCGACCGCCATAAATTTGCTTCTTAGTGGTAATTGGCCAAACGAAGTTCGTTTATGGCCAAGCGCTGATGAATACTTCGAATTGAAATAAGTGCTGTCTTCCCAGTAGACTGCAACTGCTGACGCGTGGTCCTTTGCCCATAAATGTCATGGCATATTAGAATCCAATGTGATTATATACTATACTAGCAGAACGGATAATAGCTAAAAGCCCAGATGCGCATGTTTAGCCGATATTCTACTACTGCGTGGCATAGTTGCGAGAGGTTCGGCTCAGCACTGGATCCCCCCACATTTCCTACGTGCATTCTGGTAGACACCCCAGGAAATTCTGGGACATCCACTGATAAGCCAAACCCCTCACAGTCGTGCCATGCAGTGGCAAAATATCGATAAAACATTTGTGTGGTCTTCTAGTTCGTACCCGTGCTGCTAGTATTGTAAATAATTACGTAGGTTATAATACCGACTGCCGGTCGCAGCTTGTGAATATAACGCTGTTATCTCACAGTGGCTGATCGACTCCAACCCAAATATAAATATCAAATTTTGGTCGGTGCCTATAGATCCTTAAATGTGCTAATTTATCTCACGTTGGAGATCAATTTCCAACTTAAACAGTTATACGATTAGAAACCAGCCCAAATTCATCGACGCAAGCACCCACTTGCAAACTGAACAGCCCTCAAGAAAGTGTTTTCAGGAGTTTTAACTTGCTTGCTTTTTTTAGAAAGGCGAAAAAAATGTTGGCATTTCGATATTATTTTTGAACGAGCAGATTTAATTTTTGTCGGTGCATACTGCGCGTCCATGTAAAAAAATTAAATAAAGCAAAGTAGGTGCGATATAATTTTTAAAGTAAACCTTTGGAATAAATAGTCGTCGTGCTTTAACATACTTCGTAAGTTGTAGAAGACCTAATGGCAAACCGATTTCTTGACCGTCCTCGCACATTCACATGATCCAACACCAATCATATAATAGACGTCGTATGGATCTTACCTGCTGCACCTCTTTCCATAGCGTCAAGCGCCGAAATTTTACGCAAAAGCCTTGCCAATCAGTATGGAAGTAGCCATTGTAAAGTGTTGTTTGGCGTCAGTATAGGCACGGACGAACTATTTTGTGTGTATGTTTGGACAGCGGAACTCGCATTGGCTTGCGTTTTGTCAGTCTCAGATTCTCTTGCTGTTCGTTTGAATGGTGCAAGCCGAACGTTGACTCATAATCCATACCATGAATCTCATAATCCATAGGCTACTGGCGCACCGGAGGCAGAGGGGGGTCTATTTCTTCTAGGTGGTCGTCAACATGACAATTAAACATTTATCTCCACAACAAACCTGACCGATCGAAACGCACCCCCCCTCCCCTAAAGTCGTGGTACTTACTTATTTGTTCTTGTTACGGCTGTGATCATGCCTGACCTAGGCGGCCTCAATGATGTCACGAACGGTACCTCTCCATGCGTGGCGATTGGCGGCAGG